TATAGGCTGTCGTTATCAGGTGATATTGAAAATCATTTTAATATAATGAACTTGCACTGTGATGCTATAGGCTGTCGTTATCAGGTGATATTGAAAATCATTTTAATATAATGAACTTGCACTGTGATGTTATAGGCTGTCGTTATCAGGTGATATTGAAAATCATTTTAATATAATGAACTTGACTTTCTGTAGAATATTATAGATTTATTGAAAATAATTATGTAGAGAGGGAAGAAGAAAGAAATGTATGTTAGTTTGTTTAATGTGGGGAAGTGTTAAAGGTTATATAGACCTGTATATAAAATGTACCAATTGTGGTGAACGTTGGCTAGGGCTAAGGTCTGAGTGATATTGTATGCAGTCACATTCAACTGTATTTTTACATGCACACACACACGTAAGATATATAATATAAACACATTGCAACTCAATAATCATTTGTTGAAGTGTTTGGGGTCTGTGATAACAGTACAATTGTGGGTGATAATCCAGGATTACTTTTTGATAATTTTTATTAAGAGCATCTGGTCGATTGTTTTATATTTTTTCTTCCAATTGTTTATTTTGATATTGAGAGATAAGCATTCTATTTTTACGATTGAGAGTCAATAATCTATTAAAAAACAATAAATATAACAAAGTGCTGAAGTAGAAGTTGCTTATCCACATCAATAGTTGGCTTAATAGTTAGCATTGGTTGTGTTTTACTTCTGCAGAAGTTATATTTGTACATCCAACAGAAAATCTTTAACACCATATTTAAAGGTGAGCTTCGTGCTCTTACTCATGCTTCTGGTTTGTTTTTTGAGTGCAGTTTGTCAACTCAAGTTCAAAATTACTTTAGATATGATCTTTTAAAATGATCTGTAATCAAAGTTTCAATATCAGAGCAGTTTTTTTTTATGAGTGAAAACTATTTGATATCATACCATAACTGAAAAATATGTGAACTTGAGTGTTCTGTCTTTTTCAAAGCCACATTATAGATAGGGTTCTATATCTCAGAAATGGTATTGTCAACTTTAGCAGAAACGCTGCCTCTAGAGTGGCTGTTTGTGCTAGTTATTACTAATCATAGCATTCATACCTCATTCAAAAAAAAATTTAGAAAAAGTGAACATTTTCTAAAAAAGGGAATTTTTTCTGGGAAGTATTGCATGGGAAAAGTGTTTGGATTGAGCTCTTTAGTCATACGCAACTCGTTGCTTCAAAATGATTCGATGTACAGAGCTAAAGCTTATCATAAATTTTACTAATATAAACTGTAATGTTTTTATATATTAAAAGTGGTACCATTTATTGGAAAAAATAATAGTTTTTAAGAACTCTAGTTTCTCAATACTACATTTAAAAATTACATCAATAAAGA